AAGTTCTTATCACCTCTAAAAACGCTGTAGTGGAAATAGACATAAATGTTAGCCAGTGTCAGTGAACCCAAATATTCTATAAGATTAAGTTCCAGAACGACTGTATAGCCTTATTGAGTGAATTGTAATGGGATGTGACATATGGTCAAAACTCTTGAATAGCAAAGTCTATTGAAATGAAAATGTACCTAGTTAACTGAAGGCTGTGGGCCTCAACTTTGAACACACAGTTGGTAACATTTTATAATGCATTTTTCAAAAATCTATTTGGTTGTGTTGAGAAGTTTTAGTTTTGAGTTAAAGTTAATATATGCTAACATATAATCTGTAAACATAATAATTCTAATAGAATAATTGAAATATCATATGCTTAGAAAAATACTAATAAGAAAGATAATTTAATTCTTCTCATTCTGTTTCCTTATGACTTTCTCTGAAAAGCAAAGCAGAGAATTTAATGAAAAGCCCAGTCAAGCCTACCTTACCAGAACAGCAGTAAACTTTTTTTTTGGTATTAGAATTAGTATACAGTTGAAGACTGTTCATTGTTGAATCAGTGAAATATCTGTATGTTTGGCATAAAACTGATGATACAATTTCAAGTTTTATTCTAAATTTTTTAAAATGAGGCTTAATCTTTTAACATCAAATGTTAATTCTTGTTGCTTCAAATGGAAAATTCAGAATTTGGTTTCCTAATTGATGATTAAGATTATACCCCATGAAGCTAAACATAAATAAATAGAAAGGGATGGTTTAATGTTAAAAGCATTGACTCTGGAGCCTGCTTTGTAGGGTTGTTTGTAGGGATTAAATCGGTTTATAATTCATGATGAGAATTTAGAATAGTGCCTGGTAGGAAATGGGTATTATGTAAGATTTTTTTTGTAATAAACTTTTTATTTATCTGTATTTTGATAATAAACTTTTTTACCCTATGGATTTGAATCTCTTCCAGAGTGACTGAAAAGCTTTTGCTTTCAGAAGTTACTGATACTGTAGTTTTGGCTTTCGCTTCTGCTCTGGGGCTCTTTCATTCTAAGATGAAGTTACTTAAATCGTGTCCCCCATTTTCTCATCTGTCAGATGACAGTTTCAGGTGATGAGTCTCTGATATCTTTTTAAGCCATAACAGTTCTGTGATTTTTTTTTGATCTTGTCTCCCGCTTAAGAAGGTTAGGGTTATTGGTGTCTGTCTCCTCAATCTGGAATGGTAGAGTTTTAGAACCAGAAGGGGCGCTAAGCAAATAGCCCACTTTCTGGGGGAATTCGTTCTTTTTCTTACTTCATTTAATATTTATTTATTTGGTTTTTTTTCTCCAGATTGACTATTAACCTGTTTCTCTATTTTTTTATGCTGTATCTTCATCCTACCCTCAAAACACTTCTCCCTTACTATGTACTTACTGTTGTCTGTGACTTCCTGATGTGTATGTTAACTTCACAAAGGAAGACATCTTTATGTTCCTGGCATGTGATAGATGCCAGGTAGGAACTGAGCAAAAACGTTGTTGGATGAATGAATGAATCTTCCATTGTCTTGTTGGCTTTTTGTTACTTCCAGTTTTCCTCTAAAACAATGTCTTCCCATGATTTGCTTATTTATGTATGTATGTATGTTAATGATTCTACTTCTGTATTACCCAAAGCCAACTTGTAGAGGAGTTGGCAGCCACACTTGAGGTGAAGCAAGCAAAATTATTTTCGAAGGGATTTGGACAGCCAGCACTGCCTGGGTGTGAGTGCAGGAACACAGTACATTCTGATGTGAGTTGGGTGGGGCTGAATATTCTCCAACAAAATCTCATAACACAGAACTAGGGTTACCTGGTCATTTTCCCAGAGAATCACTTTATTTTTTAAAAAAAGACTTATTTGTTTTACTTGAAAGAGTTACATGGAGAGACAATCTTTCGCCTGCTGGTTTACTTCCCAAATGGGTGCAATGGGCAGACATCAGCCAGATGGAAGCCAGAAACCAGGAGCCTCTTTCAGGTTTCCTGAAATGTGGGTGTTGAAGCCCAGAGCCTGAGACCATCCACTGCTTTCCCAGTCCATTAGTGGGGAGCTGGATTGGAGGTTGGGCAGTCAGGACACGAACTGGCACCGGTAAGGGATGCTGGCGCTGCAGGTATTAGCCTGTTAGGCCATTGTACCTGTAAGGTGTTATACATCACTTTAAATTACCAGAATTTATTAGTAACATAATAGCTTCTACTGGATTAATAGCCTTATTATGTATGCTTTGTTTTAGTTCCATTGAAGATTTTTACTTATTTAAAAAATAATAATTGAAAGGCAGAGTTAGAGAGAGAGGGTGAGACATAGACACACAGGGGGTCTTGCATCTGCTGTTTTATTCTCCCAGTGGCTGCAGAGGCCAGAGCTGGGCCAGGCTGAATCTAGAAGCCTGGAACTCCTTCCTGGTCTTCCACATGACTGCACAGACCCCAGAACTTGGGCTATCACCTATAGCCTTCCCAGGTGTATTGACAGGGAACTTCAGGAGGTGGAGCAGCTGGAACTCCAGTTGTTTTCAGTTCTAGTTTCTGCTGAGTTGTTTCCTGGGAGGTGGTAAATGGCCAGAGTAGTTGGGTCCCTGCTATGCCTGTGGCTTGTCGAAGATCTGAATTGAGTTCTTGGTTCCTGGTTTTGTCCTGGCCCAACCCTGGCTATTATGAACATTTGGGGTTAGGAAATCTTTATCTGTCTCTATTTTTCAAATAACTAAAACAGAAAATTAACAGATAGCTACTAATAGCAGTATCTTCAAATGAATTACCTGTGTTTAAAAAAACCAGAAAATTGGCAATTTGTCATGTTGTATATGCATGTTCAGATATGGTTTGTGTGTGAAATGTGATTTTACTGATCTTCATATCAGGAAGTATAGGAAAGACAGTTGGTGGTGGTTGCTAATCACAGCAGCTTGCCTACCGTATCTCTTCTAGAAGTCATTTCTTGCTTGTTCAATCTCATTGTATTTACTGTTTAAGGTCTTAGACATTATTATAAGATTTTCATGCTGTGATTTGAACCCCAGCTAACAAGCAAATGTATGATAGTTGCTTTCCGTGAGTGCAAGAAAGGTCTCTTGTATTTCTTCTATGTGAAAAAAAAATGTTTTCTTCAGTGCAGATTAATCTAGACAATGGCGTTCTGAGTAAATCAGTTTTATTCAGATCATCAAAAGAGAGCTTTGTGCATGGCTTTCTAATCCTGCAGGCTGATTAAAGAACTTAGTGAGGATACAGAAACACACTAATTTGTTCATTTTCTTTCCAAATCTTGAACCATTTGTTCTCCTCTCCCGTATTGTAAGGCAAGTTGACAATCTCCTCCTTTTTCTAATTGTTCCATGATTCTCAGTTTTCATTGAATGTTTCATTGAATTCATTATATGTTTACTGTTAAATTTTGACATTTTAATTATTGGGAATATTTGATCACATATAATCTTAATAGTGTTCAACAATGCCATCCAACTCACATTCTGTACAGAATGCTGACAGAATGATAGGAGGTGGAAGCCAAGATTATGTGTTGTACAGCTGGTTGATGAAGGGGAAGGCAGAATGTTCACATTACAGCAGACATTATGTTGTATCTCTTGGTAACTGTGCAGTACAAGACAAAAGATACCACTGATTTTAGACAGTTTATTGGTTGCAAAGAACAGAAACCTACTCAGGTTAATTTGTAAAATTCATGTTTTAAAGAATTCACCTAATTTGTGTATTTGAAGGACAAGTTATAGAGGGCCCAATATGGTGGCCTAGTGGCTAAAATCCTTGCCTTGCATGCTCCAGGATCCCATATGGGTGCTGGTTCTAATCCTGGCAGCCCCATTTCCCATCCAGCTCCCTGCTTGTGGCCTGAGAAATCAGTCGAGGATGGCCCAAAGCCTTGGGACCCTGCACCAGCGTGGGAGACCCAGAGGAGGCTCTGGTTTCCTGGCTTTGGATTGGCTTAGCTCCATCTGTTGTGGCCGCTTGGGGAGTGAATCAACTGATGGAGGATCTTCCTCTCTGTCTCTTCCTCTCTATAAACCTGACTTTACATAAAATTAAATAAATCTTAAAAAAAAAAAGATAAGTTATACAAAGAGAGAGACCTGAAACTACTACAATAGTCAGGGGTGCGCCAGGCTTAAGCAAGGAACCTAGAACTCCATTTCGGTCTCCCACATGGGCACAGGGACCCAAGGATTTGGGGTCAGCTTTCTGTTTTCCCAGATGCAGGCAGCTGAATGAAAGCGGAGCAACAGGGATTCAATGCAGTGCCCATGTAGGATGCCAGTGTCACAGTTGGTGGCTTAATCTGCTGTGTCACAAACATGAGATCTTAAAAATGTCGCAGTGGTACAAACATGTACATTAGACACTATGACTTGGTTATAAAGTCAAGGATTGTGGTACCTGCTTTCTTTCATTCTTTCTTTCTCTGCTTTTCTCCTCTCTCATATGTATCCACATATTTAAATCTGGCAGTATTGACTCTACCTCTTAGTGTTTGGGTCAAGTCAAGCTGTATTTTTCCTAAGTCATAGCTTCAAAACTGCCAGTGTTTTTTAAGATGTATTTGTTTATTTGAAAGTCAGAAAAGGAAAGATAGGGACAAAAAAACAGGCACACACAGTCGGTTGGTGGAAAGAGAGAAGAGAGAAGAGAGAGAATATGAATATGAATGAGTGAATATGAATGAATATGAGAATCACCCATTTGTCAGTACTGAGTCACTACCCAAATGGTTTTGGTAGCCAGAGCTGAGCCATTCAAAGCTGGGAGCTAGGAGCTTCTTCTGAAATAGCAGCGAGCTGAACTGAAAATGGGGTAGGTTGGACTCAGATTTGCACCCACATGGCATACAGGCATTGCAGTAGGTAGTTCAGCACTTTCACAATGCAGAGCCCCAAAGTAGCCAGTTTGATGGGCTTAATTCAGACTGTGAATCTATTTCTCCTGGATCAGGTGGCTACTCTGAGTTCAGAGATATTTTGGGGTCTCCCAGTGCTTTCTGCAGGCTGTTTCTTAACACTGACCTCCCCTGTACACACTTCAGCCCAGGCCTCGTGCCTGGTTTGAATTGTGAATAGGGAGATATGGGGTTGAAGAAAAAAAAAAAACCCTTTTGGGGTTGGCACAGGGGAGAATGTGCAAGATACAAATTGCACAGCTTTTGCTTGGATAAATTGCACATTAGTTCTTTGTTTATGATCTTATTTTCTATCGCTTTGTCTTACATATTTTTGACTTACTTAATTATTTGAGTTCTTTGAAAGGCATAGAGAAACCGAGAAACAGATGGATCTTTGTTTGCTGGCTTGTTTCTCAGTGGCTGCAACAACTGGCGCGAGGACAGGTGGGAGCCAGTAGCCTGGAACTCTAGTCACGTCTCCCACGAGGGTGACAGGTACCCAGAAACTACCTGAGCCATCACCTGCTGTCATCCCGGGTGCACATTATCCGGAAAGCAGAATGAGGGTCAGTGCTCAAACCCAGGAACTCTGATGGGTCTGGTCATTAAGGAGAATAAGAAGACATTTTCATATTGTTATAAATTTTCGTATTTTTTGCCTTATGGAGCTTTTCTCTTGTGGAATTAGTTTCCCCGAATTAATTTGCTTTCATTAACTGTTTAGTATTCTTTACATATACATGTAGATATTGCTAGGGATATTTTTTTTGGTGGGCAGATTTATATTCTAAGAGAAAAGGGCAGCGCTTTTGCCCAGTAGTCAGTTATTTGCAAATATGAATATGGCATTCTTTCCTCTCCTTTGGTCATGGTTAATCATTGACAAAATTGAGAAGTAAGCTTTGGCACTTCAAAAGTGTGTGTGTCTTCCTTCCCTTCACCCTCCTTGTCTACTGTTCTTACTGTGAAACAGGTCTGGTTGAGAAAGTATTCTTTGATGTTCAGTAACACAGAATTCTTTCCTTGGAGAAGAGAATATTAAAGTTGTACATACATAAAGCTTGTGATGTTGACAGTGTTCAGTGTTGAAGTGGTTAGCTTCTGTAACACAGCTTGTTGTTTCAGGAAAGGATGACCACCATGGAGGCTAATAAAGGCTGTTGGTTGTCAATACTGATTTGGACTTCCAAAGTGAGAGTGTCTGACTCTGTAGTTACCACATTTCTGGAAATCTAATGGAGAGGCCAGTTGGCTTTATAAAATAATAACATTAATTAAGACCTTTTTTCTGTGTTTAACAGTTTACTCTTTTTTAAAAAAAAGATTTATTTTATTTTATTGGAAAGGCAAATATACAGAGAGAAGGAGAGATAGAAAGGTCTTCCCTCTACTGTTTTGCTTCCCAAATGGCTGCAACAGCTAGGGCTGAGACAGTTTAAAGCTGGGTGGTTGCTGGTTCCCAAGACTTTGGGTCACCCTCTGTTTTTCTAGGCCACAAGCAGGGAATTGGATGGGAAGTAGAGCAGCTGGGACATGGACCTAGATGCATTTGAGGTCTAGGCACTTGCATGCCAGTTGAGCCATTGTGCAGGCCCAAGAACCTAATTTAAAAAAATTGTTCATTAATTTACTTAAAAGGTAGAGTGCTAGAGGTGAACTAGACCTTGCATCTGTTGGTTCACTCCCTGAGTGGCCACTGTAGGCTGAAGGTTGGAGCCTGAAACTCCATCTGGAGCTTCCATGAAGGTGACAGAGACCCAAGTACTTGGGCTGTTTGCCTTCCCACGTGCATTGGCAGTGAGAACTGGACTGGAAACTGAGTAGTTGGCACTCTGCTATGGGATATGGCCATCCAAGTGGTGGCTTAACTGGCTGCAACACAGAGTTACTCTTGTAACCATAGTTTTTTTCTGGGAGTGAAGTAGCTGGGTGATCTTACTGGACACTGGGTACTTAAAAAGCACTATGTAGTACCCTTTTGAATTTTGTTGTAGAAAATTGATGATTATGGCTTTTAAATGATATCTTTTGGCTAAGTTAGAGTTGATTCTCCAAGGATTATGATTTGATAATCCTGTCTGTGCCCCTGGATTCAGGCTTACCACATTGGAGATGAATCAGTAATTCTGGTTACCGTTTGTTTTTCTTTGTGTGGGCCAAGAACTTTGTTCCTGCAGATAACTTGGGATTTGTTTGTGTGATTCTGGACCAGTTCTGCCAAATGGCAGGCATTTCGTATTACACGCAGTGAAATTGCTATGTTGCAGGCAAAAGAGACAATTAAGCTTATTTTGTTTCACTCCCACTCCCTCAAATTTTATATTTGAGATTGTGGCCATGTTTGTTTCATGTGCCTAAAAATTAAATGGTTCAGGGAAGAAAGCAGAACAAGATTTTGGCAAATTAGCTCTCAGAAGTCTGAAGCAGAGGTTACTACACAAGTTTGGGAGGTGCACTGGTGTTGCTTTGAAGGACATTTTTGAAACTGTGAGAGTTGTGTGTTTGACCATAAATGCTGCTTTGTGACTGCCTGAAATATTTGAGTCCAGGAAGTTTGAGTTAGGAGTGTTTCTAAATGCATCCCTTTTACATTGAGCTTGTGTGTGAAAACAGAAAAAATTATGTGTGTGTTACTTTCCTTGCCAGCTTGGATTGGATCTTCCTAAATAGCAGTTCTTGGTGACTTAGGCTAGTAGACAAAAAATCATTCTTTGCAGTTTTTGGAACACCAGAGCTACTGGATCTCAGTGAAAGCAAATCCCAGTCGTGCTTATATCACCCCGGCATGTTGCCGGTCTACACTTCTGTTTGTAGAGGTGATAATTTGACTCTGAACCTGCTTAGATTAACAGCTTTAAGTTCACAGTGTTTTGGATGGGATCTAATAAAATTAATTTTACACATGGAACTCATGGTTTTCTTCATGCAGCTTATACACCCACTGGCTTGAGAATTCACAGAAAATATAATTAAAGCCATTGAAGGAAAAGAATATATGGTGCTCCTCTATTATTAGTCTGATAATAGCGCCTTCTTCAGGAACCCTAAAACCCTGCTGCTGCTTTGCAGGCCTTGTAAACTGATAATCACTGCTATCATGGGGGGGAGGGAAAGGTCGGTCATCCCCCCAGCAAGGGATTAGCCATCTCTACCTCAGGCTGTTCTGCTGACTTAAGGCCCCTTGGAGCAGGAAAACAGCTGCCATCGCAGGCCTTTCTAAAGAGATAATGGAAGGAGCTGGGGTTGCTTACACTGCTTTCTTGACATGTGTGAGGTACCCTGCCCCCCACCCCCACTACGCTCCCGCCATCTCTTCCTCTAACGACAGAAGTTTGGAGCTTTCTCGTGGAGAAGCCTCTTCTGTCGGTGCTACAGCTGGTGGTTTCTGAATCCCTCCCTCCCACAGTGGGTCTGATCTTGACTCATGGGAGTACTCCTGTCTTTGTGTTGCACAGGCTGTAGAGCTGCTTCTAGTCAGAGAAGCAAAAGGTTGGGTTTATTTGACTGTTAATTCATTGATGGATGAGTTCCGCTTATACCTAGCAGATTGGTATCAGAAGTCTACTGTGTATGTCAAGAGCTATGCTAGGCATATAAAACAGGTACGAAACATGGTTCCTGTTGAAACTAGCCTGGAATTTGCTAGAAGCAATGAGCACTGGAGACCATGTGTACCTGGCAGCGAAAAGCACTACATTGTGGAGAAGGTGTTGTGGCATAGTGAGTTAAGCTCTTGATTGGGATACCCACATTCCATGTTGGGGTTCTGGTTTGAGTTCTGGCACCTGTGCTTCTGACATGGCTTCCCGCTAATGTGTCCTTAGAGACAGCAGATGATAGTCCAATACCAGGGTTCCTGCCACCCATGTCGGAGACCTGAATGGAGTTCCTGGCTCATGCCTTTGTTGTTGAGAGCAGAATTAACCAGCAGATGGAATGTTTGTCTTCTCCTTTCTCTGTGTTACTCTGTATTTCAGGTAGATGAAAATAAATAAATCATAGTTTAAAAAAACACTCTAAGAAAAATAAATGCTTAATTGTGTGATATAGAGTGTAAGTGGTTGCAGAACTTTAGGAAGAAGTGTTTGTTGTTAAATTTTCCAGAAAATGAAATGAAGAGAAAGCAAATGAGGAATACCAAGTAGAGAGGTCATTCCTGAGTGTTGCTGCTGGCTCCTCATGGGTGTCCTTAAAGGCCCTTGGGAAACATGTGCCTATTGGGTTCGTACAATACTGTTAAAAGACATGAGTAAGTAGTTTCCACTTGATAATGTCTTTGTAGAGGAGAAGTCTTTGAAAACACGTAACACAGAAAAGAAATCACCTGTCATTTACCACCTAGAAATAGCTGCAGGTGCCCTTGCCTTTTAAAATACTTTCCTGTATGGCAAGTTTGATTCTGTTTACTTTGGATGCTCTGTCCAGAGGATGTAGAGATCCAATTAAAAAATAAGTTAGACTTGTATGAGAGCAATCTGTTGGTTATCATGAAGATAATTTGGTCATGTCTTACCTTTGTAGTCATTTAGAAAAATGTGTGATTGTTGAACTTTTTAAGAAAAAGTTTGGAGCATTTGAAAGCAAATGACTTTATTTTAAAGGTAGTGTTTTTGATGGATAGACTTTATGCAATAACAGGAGATGGTGACATTTCTGAAAATTTTAGAGAAAATTATGTCCATTTAATTTTATCATATCAATAAGTAACAGGTAAATATAGTCATCATCGTACATTATATATTTTTTGTAATTGCCGTATTTTTGTTCTCAGAAATGATGTACTTCTGAAGATTTCTTAATTATAATCATATGTTGATTACTAGCAGAAATGTGTGTGGACCTAGTTAAGAATAGAGGAATGTATCTTTAAAACTTTGTTTATTTGAAATCCACAATGACAGAAAGAGGAAGGGCAAGAAAAAACGGAAACGGAGAGAGAAGGGAGAGGAAAAGGGGAAGGGAGGGAGAGAGAAAGCTTCCATTTTGTGATGTACTCTGTAAATGTCCACAGGAGCAGAGGCTGGACCAGGGTGAAGCCAGGAACTGTGAACCTCATTCAGGTCTCCCACGTGTGTGGCAGGAACCCAGGTATTTGACCACCATCTGTTGCCTCCTAGGTGTGTTAGCAGGGAGTGGTTCCAGAAGTTCAGAATACCCTGACTTTATATGGAATACAGACATCTGAAGC